CAATGACAACAAATTTCAAACTCAATGGTAAAAAAATCTATTCATTTAATTGACAATTTGTATGAAAAACAAAGCTAAACGAACACAAAAAAAAATCGCATTTTTTTTAATTTTAATTTTTTTTACTTTTTGGTAATCCAAACAAATTCTATCACCAATTCTAATAAATTTTATCTATTTAATTGACAATTTTCATGAAAAATAAAGTCAAACGAACCAGGTGGAAAATTATATCAATCAAACATAATTAATTAAGTAAAACAATTTCTAAGTAATTCAATTCCCTGAAATTTATTTTCTTCCCACTCATTTTCCACATTTATCAAACGGACCCTTATAAATTGTTTCCGATTAAAATTGAAAATATGACCGTTATTGGATCTCACTCGTCTGATAAAAGTCAATAATAACGATTAATTTTTCAACTTTAATCTAATTTTAATATCTACTGAACACGTCCTCAATAGAGTGGAACGTCTGGAGACTAGTAGTGTGAATTTCTCAAAATTGAACCGACCGGATGATTCGGGTTATTGCCACCGACCGCCCACTGATTTCACAACCCAGCGGTGACCCTAATTGTTCATCATTGTTCTAGACAACAGACAAATCCAGAGTCTTCAGTCTTGTACCCCTCTCTCTCTCTCTATAACTCTCAATCTCTCTCTCTCTCTCTCTCTCATAGATTACCGGTACAGAGCTTATGTCTCCCAAACCCTACCCCGCTTCTCCCTCCACCCCGCATCCCTTACCCCTCGGGCACTAATCAGCCACCACCGCCATCGCTCCTACAAGACCAACCAGACACAGCTAATCGAATTGGAGGTCGACTCATCATCCGCTTCTTCCCATCCCGACTCGCCGGAGGAGGTGCTCACAGTTGGGATTAAGAAACTCGAGGAGGCTATCCACAGTATCATCGTGCGTCGGTCTGCACCCGATTGGCTCCCCTTTTTACCTGGGTCTTCGTACTGGGTCCCGCCTCGGAGTAGTACTATGCGACATCCACATGGTATGATTGAGGTAATTGGGAAATTGGCATCTTCTGGGGTGGGAGCGGGGAAGATTCGACCGCAATTTGATCTTTTGACGGAGGATGAAACGATGTCTTTTACCTCTGCGCGTGGATGGCCCTCTTCTACTTTTTTTGTTGAAGGTAAGGAAATTAGTTGGCTTATTATTATTTTTATGTTTTTTGGATCGAATAAAATTGGTAGATTGGATTATTTGGCGGTGTCTTTTTATAGTATGAATTTGAATTTAAATGAATTGATTATAGAATTTGTGTAAGCTTGATCTCTGAATATTTTTATAGATCTAGGGCGATAGATGAGCATTGAGTTTGAGAATTTATCCAAAGTTTCATCTTGATAATGGTTAAAGAACCCAGATTTCTGCATTTTTTTAGGGAAGAACTCAATACGGAAAACTTTTCTTGACTTTCTTCTAAATGGGTTTTGTGATTTGTGATTTTAATATATTGCCATTCATATTTGATAATCATGGGATTTCACGCCTTATGAAGGGAAGTGCTGCAATTGGGGTATTCAGATTTTCCTTGTAACTTGCTAAATTAAGCATTTTGCATGCAATGCTATGCTATGCTATGCTATGCTGTGCTGTGCTGTGCTGTACTGTGCTGTGCTGTTACATTTTTTATATTGCAAGTGTATGATATCGTAACAAGTAATACAGGGGACCTTTGAGTTCGAATTATCGTTTCCACGAGAACTATACTTTAGACTTAATCTAATTTTTCTTACTCTTATTTGACAAAAGCAAATAAATAATTATGATGGTTGTAATTAATTTTTCTAACTGCTTTTAACTAATGAAAAATATAAAATATAAAATGATTGCAAACAATTGATAATTTAAGAAACAAATATGTGATAAATATTAGGGCATAACAATTTCATCTATTGATTACGTTTATTCTTAATTCAAGATTCATAACCTAATGTAGTGTTCGATCGAATTCTTCTATTGTATTCAATTTACCCCTCTCGAGTTCTCAATGAGCCTATTTAACCAATTAAATTACATATATATATGCGAATCAATTTTAGTTAAACGAAACAGTAGTTCTAAAAATTCATATTATGACCGCAATAATTAATACAGGTGTATCTACACGTTATTGGAGACATTGAAATTTTTCATGAAAACGCCATTGGAGAGTATTGTTCATCTGTGATGGTTTTCGTGCATGCTGATCTGATGTGTGCACACTGCAGGTACTTCACCCGTACATCCAATTCCATTGATGGAAGTGGAGGTGAAAATTCAGAAGAAAGTGGACAATGCACATAACACATCTAACTCTGAGGACGAGGAAGGATGAAGAGTATGCTGGATGAAAATCCGGTTGCTCAGGGTGAGTTATTTACCTTAGCAAGGCCTGTGGTCTGTTACAAATAATTTTGGTCGATCCGTACTTTATTTTTCAGCACAGGCCTGTTTGGAAATATTTTGTGGCAATGTCCCATGAATCTATCCATATTATTGTTCTTAACTGTTCTTCTTTGCGCTAAAAGATCCCTACTTCATAGTAGTGGAAGTAATGATTGATTTAGTAACATGTACTTCTTAGCACGAGCGGGAATAAGGGAATATGCTGTGGGTCTGTCACGCAAAGTATTGTTCTTATAGTTCACAGCTGTGTGTTCTTCTTTGCACTAAACATCCCAACTTAATACACTTGCATGCATGTTAATCAGAGACTAATGTGGATTATCTGGCAGAAAGTTCTTCTGTAAATACTATCTTGTTTTGCAGGCTTGCTCACCCTTGTAGATATCTAGAGCATGCAGAAGGTAAAAGAAGAGCGCAAGCAGATAAAATGCTTGTACAGACGCTCTAGATGAGGTTCATGAAAGGTTAACTTGTCTTCATTCCACCTGACTGGAGAAATATGTAATCATATTCACATGTTGTTTTGAGTCGACTAGTGTAATTTCATTTTTATGGTTTGAAATAATTAATAAGCCGGATGGTTAATTTAAATGCTTATTTTCTTATACACGAATCCACGATGGTGATTCTATTATCATCTCGCTTCAAAACTGAGCAGAACTGTTGCTTGAATGGTTCTGTCGTCCTTGATGGCTGGGTTTTTAGCACTGTGGTCTGGGCTGCTTTTACAAGTATTTGTGCTCCTAATGGTTTGAATTTGGTAAATACTTGTGCAAGCTTATTGTTAAGGTCAAGCAGGTACGGCAGATTTATTCGAGTAAAAAGGAGAAATGAAAGCAAGCATATTGAGTTTTGACAATGGCGTTGTGGGTCGGGTCGGGTCGGGTCGGGTCGGTTCGGTTCTGAAGATACCCGAACCGACCCAAAACTTTCGAGTATTTAATAAATGGATCCGTCGGGTTCAAATATAATTATGGAACCGTTCGGATTCGGTTCCGTACCATAATTGATTTTTTTTAATATTTACATCAACACTACATAAATACAACTAATGATATTTCATTTGTAACTTTTACGAATTAACGTAATCCAATTCAAAAAAATATAAATAACTAGCCGTCCCATAAGATTAATTCAACGCATACAAATGTCAAAAAGTAGATATTAATATTACATCAACACTACAAAAAGTAAATTCATTTGCTTCAAACAGCATGCCTGCATAAAGAAAATGAAATATAAATTAAAAATTATAAAAATAAAATATTTTTAAGTACTCGTAATACTTACCAACTATTTGATTTAATCATCATCAATTGCTTGACTTGTCATGTTAAGAAATTCTACAAGTATAATTGAAAAGGCACACAATTAACAAACACAAATAAAAGAAAAATTATTCAACTAATAAGATTTAATAAAAAAATATAATATATATTTATTACCAACCTTTTTTGTAGGGTTTGGGTTGTTAATAAGGGCTAATGCTTTAAAAATGATTTGGTTTTGGGCTTTATAATTAAAAATATGAAATAATTTGATTTATTTAATTAATTTGTTAATTTATTTAGAAAAAAATAAAATAATGTAATTAATTCAATATAAAAAATAAAAAAATTTATTTAGTTTCGGTTCTTTTTGGGTTTTTCGTCTAGACTCGAGACCCGACCCAAACCCATCGATTCTCGATTCGGGTACTCGTTCGGATATTTAATTTATGAAGAACCGCTCGATTCGGTTCAATTCGGGTTCGGTTCGATCCGATTCGATTCGGGACTTTTAGACACCCCTAAATGGCATGATCTGGAGGAATTCATCAGGTTCCCAACGAAGAAAAATTACAAAATTGATTCCAACGTTTATGTTTTTATAAATTATAATTTCATATTCTACAACTAGAGGTGGCTTGGAATCGGCAAAATTTTGAGTTCAACATAAATGGCGCTCACATGATGGTGATGGGGAGAGGGCAGCAGGGGATGGAAAAGAATATTATAATCTTACTTAGGGTGTGTTTGATGGATATTATTTTGGAAGAATGTATTTTGAGATACTAGATTGATGAAGAATGTGTGGTTGAAAAAGAAGGAAAAGTTATTGATGTGATGGAAAATATTATTTTAATAAAGAATGTGTGGTTAAAAATAAGCATAAGAATGAGAATGAAAATGAAAATTTTAATGGGTACCAAAGAAGGGCTTAATGTATTATGGGCAGGAGAACAAGCCATATCCGCAACGCTTTTATTATTTTTAACTATATATATTTCACCCACCTCAATGATTAGTCTATTTTTCATGTTAATTTTCAATGTCATTACTGAATGTCAAACGAAGTCGAAGCATTAAATTTTTAATAATATTTCAAGTGTGCATGACTTAATTTTTCACATCCTTAATGGCTTTGAAAATGGTCAATCTTAGCAAAAGTTATGATATAGGTACATCGTTTCAAATTAGGATTTCGAAAATTTCAATAACATTTTAATTTTAAAAATTCGTTGACAATTATACGTTAGCAAAATTCACAAATTGCGCTCATTTCGAGAACTATATCGTAGGAATAACGAATAGTCCAAACTAACATCGTAAATAATTAAACAAGCGTTTAAAAAAGAGACGTATGACTTTTATTTTTTTATAAAAAAATTCAATTATTTCATTAACGTTTATTACGTGATAATTTTTTTATTAGAATGTTTTTTTGTGACGTCAAATTTTTTTGAATCATTACACATAAATATAATAGACTAACATTGAATAAGGTTCGAGTTTGAATTATTTTTTTTCTAATCAGAACAAATTAATAAAATAAAAATGCGGATTCAAAAGAAAAGAATAATTCGAACTTGAACCTTATTAAATATTAATTTATTATATTTTGTGTAATGATTCGAAATTTTTTGACATCATAACCATGTAAAAATATTCTAATAAAATAATATAAATTATACTAAAAAAATTTATCACGCAAAAATAATAAACGTTAATGAAATAATTGAAAAAATTTAAAGAATAGACAAGTAAAAATATTCTAATAAAATAATATAAATTATATAAAAAAATTGTTCCCAAAAATAATAAATGTTAATAAAATAATTGAACAAATTTAAATAAAAGATCGGTTAGACGTCTCTTTTTTAGACGCTCATTTAATTTTTTCGATGTTCAAACAATGTTCGTTTAGACTATTCGATACATCTATGATAAACTTTTCAAAATGAGCTTCAAGATGATGCAAGCAATTTGTGAATTCAACTAATGTACAATCGTTGGCGAATTTTTAAGTGACTTTGATGAGCCATCCAGTCCGTATTTTATTCACCTTTTCGATATTCCTAGATTGGTACTTGTGTCTCACCAGCTCACAAGAGAAAACTACGCCTCTTGGAGCCGTGCAACAACAATTGTTCTTTCGGTGAAGAACAAATTCTCCTTCATTGATGGATCTATGGAAAAAACAAAGGGTGCGAATCCCGACGTGATCAATTCATGGATTCGAAACAACAATATGGTCATCTCTTGGACCCTTAAAAAAAAAAATGTAATATTTCGACTTTGCTTGACATCCCATAATGATATCGAATAAAAATATTCTAATAAAATAATATAAATTATATAAAAAAATTGTTCCCAAAAATAATAAACGTTAATAAAATAATTGATCAAATTTAAATAAAAGATCGGTTAGACGTCTCTATTTTAGACGCTCATTTAATTTTTTCGATGTTCAAACAATGTTCGTTTAGACTATCGATACGTCTATGATAAACTTTTCAAAATGAGCTTCAAGACTTCGCAAGCAATTTGTGAATTCAACTAATGTACAATCGTTCGCGAATTTTTAAGTGACTTTGATGAGCCATCCAGTCCGTATTTTATTCACCTTTTCGATATTCCTAGATTGGTACTTGTGTCTCACCAGCTAACAAGAGAAAACTATGCCTCTTGGAGCCGTGCAACAACAATTGGTCTTTCAGTGAAGAACAAATTCTCCTTCATTGATGGATCTATGGAAAAAACAAAGGATGCGAATCCCGACGTGATCAATTCATGGATTCGAAACAACAATATGGTCATCTCTTGGACCCTTAAAAAAAATGTAATATTTCGACTTTACTTGACATCCCATAATGATATCGAAAATTGACATAAAAATCTGAAATATCATTTATATGTGATAAAAGGGGATGGGTGTAGGAAGTGGATCGGTATCAAGGGCAAAGGTGGACGTATGGCCCGCTGAAGTGGGGAAGATCGTTCTCCTGCCATCATGGGCATCATATTCATATATACACAAAATTTCATTGATAGAGCTGGTTGGGGAGATTTTCCAACAAATTTGGAATACTATCGTGGCGTGATCCTATTGGATATCCCACAAAATACCACATCTATCTCTGTTCTCCAATTCAAAAATATAAAAGTAAAAGTGGACTCTTTGAATCTCCATATCCCGATCGATAACCAGAAGCTTCAATGGCGGAACCTCTCGAAACCAATCCCTCAAGACACCCTTAATAAGAAGACCCAAGTAATTTTTTTTTTTAGACACCCTTATTCTCTCCTTCCTTTTCTTTTTCATTTAAAAAAAAATTCAATTACTTTTTTTGTGTGTAAAAGAGATTCCACTGATCTTCAATGTGTCTGAAGCTATTTCAACGCAGAAAGTTATAAATTATATTCGATTAAACCAACTGTCTCTACAGCCAAAAATATTCTAATGACAAATTATTTATACTTGTTCTTACTGTATTCATCTTGTTCTTCGTGCACTTTCCATGGTTGATATCGTGCGGCGATGATTTTCGCATAAAAGAAATATACATGTGATTGCTTATTTAACGGTGTAAATAAGAAATTTTAAATATTTTTGTGGATCTTTTTATTGCAAGTATTAGAACCTATACGTATTTTTGTATAGATGTTAGTTGGCAGGTTAGTTAGGTAGTTAGTTTGCCAGCTGGATATTAGTTATGTCGGTTGGTTTTTGGCGCCTATTTATGCTGTATATGTACACTCATTTTCAGTGACTTTGATGAGCCATCCAGTCAAAATTTTATTCACCTTTTCGATATTCCTGGATTGGTACTTGTGTCTCACCAGCTCACAAGAGAAAACTACGCCTCTTGGAGCCATGCAACGACAATTGTTCTTTCGGTGAAGAACAAATTCTCCTTCATTGATGGATCTATGGAAAAAACAAAGGATGCGAATCCCGATGTGATCAATTCATGGATTCGAAACAACAATATGGTCATCTCTTGGACCCTTAATTCAATTTCAAAGGAAATTTCAGCTAGTGTTATCTATGCTTCTACAGCATTTGAAATCTAGAATGATCTCAAGGAAAGATTTCAGCAAAGCAATGGACCGCGGATCTTTCAACTAAGGAAGGATCTGATGAATTTAATTCAAGATCAAAGCAGCATAAACGTGTATTTAACTAAACTAAAAACTATATGGGAAGAATTAAGTAATTTTTGACCCAATTGCAACAGTGGAAAGTGTACCTGAGGCGGTGTTAAGGAAATGAATAAATACTATCAAATGGAATACATCATGTCATTCCTCATGGGGCTAAATGAATCATTCTTCCAAGCTAGAGGTCACATTCTGCTTATGGATCCCCTAGCTCCTATTAATAAGGTGTTTGCATTAGTTTTACAAGAAGAGAATCAAAGAAAGTTGAGTACACAATCATCTAGAAATGATGCAAATTGCGCAGCTTGCACTTGCATTAAGATCTGACAATGCAAAATCAGCTTCCAATTCTGGTCTTCGCAATAATAGTTCTAGGATTGGTAACTTTGGAAACGTCAAGAAGAAGGAAATGCCCTATTGTACTCATTGTAAATACAGTGGACATTCAATTGATAAGTGCTATAAAATCCATGGACAACCACCAAGATACAAGCCAAGATCCAAGGACAATTTCCAAAGCTATTTTGTTCCTAATCCCGTTGATCAGTTGTCAACTTCTTATCAGATGGATCAACAACCCGATATGGAGAATTTCATGTAGAATCTAAATTCTAGTCAATATCAGCAGTTGATGACAATGCGATCCAGCCACTTAACTCCAAGCTTGAACACTGCTTCAATTTCCAGGACAAACATACCACTTCATGTGTTGCGGGGGTATATATCATTCCGTATCAATTAACCATATCTTTACTACCAAAGAGATTTGGATAGTAGACTCAAAGGCCACTAGACATGTGTGCTCTATTGCTTATGCCTTTATGAAATTGAGAACAGTTTATAATGCAAGTATCACTTTGTCAAATCACACATGAATACCAGTCAGCGTGTGTGGTGATATCAGACTAAGTCCTAAAGTGGCGCTGCTTGATATCTTATTTATACCACAATTCAAATTCATTTTATTGTCAGTCAGTGCATTAACTGTTGGATCACAGGTCACCTTAAGCTTCTTTCATGACCATTTTATCATTCAGGAGGCTACAACCAAGAGGATGATTGGCAAGGACGATAAAGTTAAAGAATTATATGTACTTGACACTAGATTCCTTATTTCTGTTTCAAATGTCTTTGCTGGTAAAGTTTATGCTCATATATAGCATAATAGGCTTGTCCATCTATCTTTTAAAAGATTAGATGCATTAAAAAACCACGTGGTAAGTGATGTTTCAAAATTGAATAAACATCTTCCTTGTTATATTTGCCATATTGCTAAGCAAAGAAGACTATCATGTGAGTCCAATAACAACCTGTCGAGTAAGCCGTTTGATCTATTACACGGTGATATACAGAGACCATATCATATTCCTTCACCTGCATGGTACAAGTATTTCTTAACTTTAGTTGATGATTGTTCTAGATTTACTTGGGTCTACATGCTACGATAAAAATCTGATGCTGTGAATGTAGTATATCGTTTTTTAGTATGGTTGCTACACAATATAATGCTGTATTAAGAGTTTCAGATCATATAATGTTCATGAATTGTCCTTTAATGAATTCTTTGTTGAGAAAGAAGTATTACACCAATTCAGCTGTGTTGAAAGACCACAACAAACTCTACTGTAGAACATAAACATCAACATCTTTTAAATGTTACTCGAGCTTTATTTTTCTAATCAAGAATTCCTTTCAATTTATGGTCTAAATACGTGTTGACTGCAACATACTTAATCAACAAAACTCCATATCCTCTCTTGCAACATAAAACGCCTTATGAAATCTTACATGGAAACCCTATCGATTATTCTATTCTTCGAGTCTTTGGGTGTTCGGGTTTTGCATCTACAGTCACTGCACAAAAAAAAAAAAAAAATTAGCCAAGAGCCAAATTATGTATGTTCTTAGGTTATCCATCAGGAGTCAAATGATACAATCTACTTGATGTTGCATCATGACAGATTTTTATATCAAGAGATGTTGTGTTTCATGAAGAAATATTTCCCTTTCATACTATTGTGGAGGCCGATCAAGTACTAGATCCTTTTCCTGATCTAGTATTTCCATCTTCTTCCTTGTTTCCTCCTCTTGATATACATGTCCAAAACATGACCACCATAATTCTAATTCACATGTTGATACTCACAATACTTCTTCATCGGAGGCACTTCATTATTCACCTCCAACTTACTCTAATTCTCCCATCATTCACATTTTAGGCCTCCTATCCTTGACATTCAAAAATCCCAAAGAGCCTCTAGACTTCCCAAGTATCTTCTTGACTATCATTGCCATTTGATCTCTCAAACCGATCATCCTATCCTTCATTCCCCAAACCCTATTGGACACTTTGTCTCTTACAACAATCTGGTTGAACCTTAAAGACATTTAGTATTAAATATCTCATCTCGTTTTGAGCCTCAATTCTTCCATCAAGCTGTTAAATTCCCTTAATGGCGTGATGCTATGAAACATGAATTGGAGACCATGGAACTCAACCACACCTAGTCTATTGTTCCTTTACCTCTTGGGAAGCACTCTGTTGGATCTAAGTGGATTTGTAAGAACAAGTACAACTCAAATGAATCCCTTGAGAGGAATAACGCACGCTGATGTAGCATCAATTGGGATGATCGAGGAAGAAACCAGAGGATGAGAAAAACATGGGAGAAGAACGCGTTGGCAACAAGTTACGATTCAATTTTCATTCATTCATCATCTATTCCAAAGTTTACAATACCACCATATATAAAAGAAAATGCTTATTAGCACAAAATGTCCCTACATTTGGTCTTTAGTGTGCAAAACATCCTTATGTTTCAATTTTTTTGCATTTTCACTCCTATTTCCACGTTTCATTGCGAAAAACGTCATTTTCATCAATTTTCATTCATTCTCTCAATAAAAATATATGAAATGACAAAAATATGCCTTCTTATTTAAATAAATAAAAAGAAAAGAAAAGAAATAAAGAATTAATTGCAACTATATGTCCACATTTTTCAAAAAATTACTAATGAGTCCCAAAAACAATTAAAATAGTAAATTTATATTTTACTATTAATTAAAATAGTAAATTTTTGTTTTATATAATAAAATAATTAAATCAAAAAATTGAAAAACCAAAGCCCAAATCAAAAGTCATCCACCCCCACCCCCACCCCCACCCCCACCCCCAAGACAACATCACTCTACCAATGCAGTCCATCGCCGCCACCCTCTCTCCGATAAATTGAAGCAAAATGGGAAGTTCCTCTTGTTGTTCAAAAGTGGTTTTGTAGAGAGGTCCATGGTCCTCCAAAGAAGACACTTTGCTTGCAAATTACATTTACAATATGATAAAGGCCAATGGAGATCCCTTCCCCCAAATTTGGTAATTTCTTTTTCTAAATTCTCTTAAAAGATTTTTAGTCAGGCTATTGACGATTTATGTTCTATTGTTGGCTATAAGCATGAAATTAGCTATTCCAAACGTGCTCTGTTTTGAACAGTATGACAATGATACTTACAAAAAACTCCTATCAATCTCAAGCCTAGAGATTAATGGTCAAGTTATATTTGAGAAATGAAATTTAAGATGACACAAAAAATTAAGGTATTTAGCCCTTGTTTGGCATCGTTAAAAAATCTGATTAATTTTATTCACGCAGTTCATAGAACTCATAACCTTTCAACTACGAAATCTATCAACTTTGAACATCTAATATATTTTAAATACTAAAAAATTGTTCATATTACAGTTGAACTAAAATTATATAATTTTTTTTATTTTATACAATAAAGAAAAAATTATTTAGTCAAACAATTATGTAGTGTGCACAATTAATAAATCAAAAGCACTTTCTAATTATATTGTCAAGTCGTCGCTTTTTCGTAATAACTCTATTGATAAAAGTTTTGCTTACTACAATAGTGCCAAATGAATCTTTTATTATATATATCGAGCTTATGTTCTTCCCCAACTGACATGTTTTGCTTCGTTTCAACGAGAATGTTGAACTGAAATAGTGCATCGGATCACTATTTTGGGCATTATAAGATGTTTGTACATGTAAAATGACAAAAAGGTTCATCGTCTATATTTTCATGTGTGCCTTTTTTTATGACATGTTAGGTAAGATGATCAGATATTAAACAAAGAAATATTAAAGTACATAATTAAAAAAAACCAACATTATGCATCCTTATGACCATATGTACAAATGATGGAGATGAAAATCGTGAATAAGATTAATTATGGGTAATGGTTATCTATAATATATTAAATATCACATCAAGTGAGAATCATTTTTTGGACAATTTTAACCCTACAAAATTCAATTATTTCAATAATACTTTACTTTTCATTTTTCAATATGTAATAAATACTACAAAATATTTGTCATGTATGAATTTCGAGTTATTAATTTTCAATTAATTAACATTCACATTAATCTAGATTCAATGAATGATAAATCTTAATCTACATGAATTTAGAGTTATTATAGATGAATTTATTTTTATTCGTGCATCTAGAAAATTTAATGGATATTTAAATTCATGTCTTAATATTTACTTCTTATGTACCAAATGTAATATAAAGATGCTGCTCGTTTGTAGCATTTCATCATCATAAAAATTGAGTCATAGAAGTTGAATTTTGAAAGTACAATTTTCTTTTCTTAAGTTTATATCCTAAATTTTATTTTTCTTAATTCATTTGAAACTCATCAAATCCTCTTAATAAATTGATATCAAATATTACTTTTATAGCACTTCCAAAGTATTTCAGAATAAGTGCAACGCATGTTCAAAGTAGTATTTACAAGTCAGTACATGTAAAAATTTAAATTGGAAAAAAATTTTTAAAGAAAAAGGTACTAAAAGTCTAAAGCCGAAGGAGGACTATTACACTGCCACTCGAGAGAGAAATAACTACAAAATGTATATACAGTTATCATACTTCCTAATCACATCTCAGATAAAATATTGCTGATTTTTCTAAGCTCTTTAAGGGCTGCCATGGCTGTAATTTGTCCTTGCCCAACAAAACCATTTTTCGAGCTGTTCTCCAATGGTCCCGTGTAACCTCGATCTTGCTGGAAAACAGACTCAATAACCTGCGCATGCAAACAAAATATTACATATGCACCTCTGCTTAGGGAACTATCAATTTGAAACAAGTATTTCACATTATATTTACTTTTTATGAAGAAGGTTCTTGGTGAAGGACTTATTTTATTAAGCTTACATACGTTCATAACACTTCAAATTGAATCAAGTTTTTCAAGGATCATAGCAGCTTTGGTTAAAAGAAATGCGATTGCTTCATAATATTGTAACGCGAAGAGTAGGAACATTCTAGTGACGGTGAAAGCCATTATGTACTGATATCATAATTACTGACTTACTGACTGGTACCTGGATGTTCTCAAGCATGGATTGGCCAAGATTTTTGAAGCTACCCATCAAGTTTTGCTCAACTGTCTCTCCTTCACTGATTCCCAAAGATCTATCACATCCATCGACTGCTGAAGTGCCGACTTCAGCATTTTGAACACTTCCTCCGTGGCAAGCTTTTACATCTTCAGAAGCACCTACCTTATCAGATGTTCCCCTACACGCATTCCGTCCAAACTGACATACCCAATGAAATTTTTCGGATAGACACTTCCGCTCCTTCATGCCCGTGGCTGATATACCACCAGAATTATCATACTGGGAGCTCATTCCGTCCAAACTTCCATAACCATTGAAATTTTTCGGATAGAAACTTCCGCTCCTTCATGCCCGTGGCTGATTTACCCACAGAATTATCATTCTGTGAACATTTTAGAGACAGATCATCAGGTGAATCTGAGACAGGAAGAGGGGAGAATTCTGTGGTAGTCCCACATGTACCGGGATCATTTTCATCAATGGTCAAGTTCGACGCTATGCTACTTTTTTCTGAGTCATTCAGATGACCATTAGCTCCATGAATAGGACTTGGTGCATCTGAGGAATCGGAAGAATTCTCTTCACACTCTGTGCTTCCACTCGAATATCTCAGCTCAGACGTGCTGGCACAGTTTTTATCAGTAATTTCTTGCCCATTGGCCTCACCTGGATCCCCATGGCCTAAATCTTTGTTGTACCCTAGCTTCTCTGTATCTTCATCCGATCCGAGCTGAAGGGCCAGATCTTTCAACAAACTTCTCCTAACAGATGGCTTTTGGTCTTTTTGTATTTTACCAACCTTAGATGAAGACGGGTCAGATTCAGTTCTAGACAGTCGCAATCTTACTCTCTCTGACCAACCCTTTCTGCGGTTCGGAACTTGTTTTCCAGCAACACCTACCTTGCTCTCTTCTTCCTTGTGCAAATCTCGCCACTTCTCTTCCCAGTAGCTATCGGGGACCGCATTCAGGGGAGTTCTTGGAGAAGTTACATCTAAAGAAAGGCTATGACTCCTGGTACTGACTGACTGACTTTTGTAATATAACCCAGGATAAATCAGTGGGGAAGTTTGGTTCACATCTACTGCCAGAGCCTGCAAGGACGTTGCCTTTGCTAGGACCTTAACAAGATATATGTCGTCGGGAAAATTCAATAATCTTTGAAGACAAGCAGTGGCATTCTCCGTGGCAAGCACTGGAGATCTCAAATGAAGTATAATTGAAACTGCAAAAGCAGAAATGAATGCTCCCCTATGCGAATTGACGACTGCAAATTTGGACTCGGAATCATTATCGGCAGGTATTCTGAATTTGGTATTATCATACGAAAAAATTTTGTCCCAAATAATTAAAAGGTCTTCGAGTGAAAATTCACGGCCAAATAGGACCCGTAGCCAGCGAAGTGCAAAATATTGTGGTTCAACTCCTAATTCAACAAGGTGGCCATGAAGAGATGAATCAACAATGGAAAGTAAATGATAGAGTGCGGCGGAAGCTTCAATTACAGGGGGGAATCCACTATGAGCAATCCCGAATGGAGATGGAGCAAAAAATTCTGCCATAGCAACGGCACCACCTGCCCCACTCATCAAAGCATCAAACATAGAATATCCATCGTGCTCCATAAATTTCTTTGACAAGACAATACCAAGTTCACCTTCTGCCCCATAGGCATCACTTAGTAAAACAATATTTTGAATTTTGGGATCAAGTTCACTGAGACTGCTAGAGCCTTTTCCCAATTCATTCACATCTTCGGCAGAATCAGAGAATTTCCTAAAATCAAACTTATATGTCAAGTCATTTTCATGAAATGAGAAGCCGTCAAACTTGTCAATGAAGTGGTCTTCATAAACTTTTCTCACTTCTGAAAGACGCTTAACATCAACGTGTAGAACATACAACAGCGGGGCCAAGAGTTCATGCATCCCTACCAAATGAAAGCATGAAGAGATGATTCCAGGAGTAGACAATCAATTTGATTGTATTAAACTGGATAGAAAAATTCTGATTTGTAGATATTTTCACATGCAGTCTATGCAATTACAGGACAGATTAATCATAAAGCTCTACTTAGATTAAAATCTTTCAAATTCAGTTCACCGAGTAATCTATATAAAAATAACTTAAAATTCTCGGCCTACACATCTCTGCTTACTAATCCATACTAGAGGAAGCCACTTTTGATTCCACTAAAAATGACTGATAAATAATGTTAAAACAAAAAGAGAATACAAACTACAAATAAAACCTACCTTGTCTGTAGCCATACTCTGGATGTCTAAGGCACCAAAGTAGTAAAATCCTCCTTAAAATTCCTTGGCACCCAGGTGTCTGGAAATAGCTACCAGGTTCAGGATATAGACGTGTCAAATCTTGGTCAACCATTCTCTCCAGTTCAGCATTCTTGAAAAAACGACCCCACATGCTACCTGCATGACAGATAGCAGCAGCATGAATTATTTAAAAAGAAAAAAAGCAAGTCATATGAGTGCATAAACTTAATATTCACTAACACGGGTTCTTGACAAGTATGGAAACTCAAGTGTAAGCTACTGACATGCCTGAGAAAAGGAATCTTAATCAAGAAACTTAAAAAAGGAAGAGGAAAAATGTTTTAGAAATGCAGGCACTTTAATAAAATTTACTGAGCTAGAGGAACAAAAAATTCGTATTGATGCATTTGTGTGCATAATACAGAAACTCTACCTGGATTTTGTGATAGTGGATTGTCCATGACAAGATCTGGAGAATTACTTCCATCCTTGGGAACATGTGTATCAACTAGAAGCTGCTGCCTCAGAGCAGCATACCTGCAAAAAATCATGAACTAATTATCAAAAACAAACTCTTTAACTAAAACTGGAATAAGAATGAATATATAATAACCACTTCCTAATGGTTGACATATTAGAAGGAGATGATGGTACACTTGAGAGAGTTCAACAGAATAAGTTTTGAGTCAAATTAGTTTCTGTTACTTTAATTAACAGGTAAATCTGCAATAGCAACAGCCAAACGGCGAATGAACTATACTATAAAACAAGGAGCTTCGTCCATTTAAACACGTGTAACTCAAGAAACTTAGTAAAAAGACCAGAAATAGGAACTATTCTTGTTGTTTTTGAGCAGGTCAGTTGTAACCAAAACAAAACTTTTTTGGAATAATCCACTGATGAAAAACAAATATAGGATTGACATATCAATGCTAAAAGAATCCAAGTGCAAAACACTAAACAAACTTAAGTAAACCATGATTTGATGACTATAGAAGAAACAAGAATAATTCAAAAAATCCTCGAATTAATAACTCAGTTATAACGGTCCGCATAAGGGCACAAATTAATGAAAAGACCAGCATATGCAAAAATAAACATAGAAACTTCTCGAACTTCAGTGCATATATATCATCATAAATTGAGTCAATAAATGAATTGGATCTTTAAAACAACAAATACAGGATAATATCAGAGTCGACATTTATTTACGTTCGTCGCGAATTGGCCGTCACTCGGCGAAGATCGTCTATAGGTGAAGAAGATGGTAAAATCCCCAAATCTATGCGCCACTGCACCCCTCTAAGATCTCCAAAACGACTTAAACCTTCAGAACGTGACGTCGTTTCAGCCGTTGCAGTCTCTATTGGAACCTGCGACATGATCTTTTTTTTTCTTTTTTCAGTTTTACTTAAATTTAGGTGAAGTTCTTAGAGTTCCAGTTGACAAATTTCCATAAACATTATCTTCATACAAAAAAATGTATCTTGGATTTATAGACCCTTTTGGCTAAAAACTCAGATAAATGCAATTTTCGGACCAAAAAATGGAGAATTTATTGGCCAGACACAGGAATTCTCAAAAGACCCAGTTGCTCAATACCCCTCAGGATTACCTTTGTTTAACAAAGACTGGCTATTTTCCTAAAAATGGGATTTTTTAGCTCGAGAATTGAAAATTAAAGCCCAGGTGAAAATAATAGATTAATTCTAGAAAGAAATTCAATTCCAGAGAATTCAAAGAGAGAGGCAAATATTTTGGCTCGAGAAATGATATATATACATATAAACGGAGATGTACTGTGAATGATTTGCCGACGGAGATATGGAAATCTACAGAGAGAGGTGGCGGAAAGAATGGTAGAGAGAGAACGGTGTATTTCTTATGTATTTTTAACTTATTTTATTTGTGTCAGAAAGCAAAATAGAGAGAGAAATACTCCAAAATAAGAAGTTTGTTTACTATTTCCATCGATTATCCGAAAACTGATTCAGCCCTGTTTGAGCAACGTTCGCATTTTTATTATCATTTTTTTACTTATTTTTCACCATATATTTTTCAATAAAATAATATTTTTCATCACATCAATAATTTTTCCTTCTTTTTCAACCACATATTCACCATCACATCACAAAAAAATGCATTTTCTTCTAAAAAATGTGTATCAAACACACCCTCAAACAACAAAATAATTACTTTTTTAATTATTAATATCAAAATAAGTAAATTTGCTAGCCAAATCAAAATGTGGAATATGCAGGCACCGTTTGGTAACCATTATTCTAGAAAAAATGTATTCTTTGTGTCAAATCACACCTTAAATGTGATAATGTGTAAAAGTTATGAACCTTTCATGCAATTAAAATGTAGGCACCGTTTGGTAACCATTCTTTTTTTCATTCTCATTCTTCTACTAATTTGTCAAATCACACCTTTTTTGTGGTTGAAAATGAAGGAAAAGTTATTGATGTGATGGAAAATATTATTTTATTGATAAATGTGTGGTTGAAAATTAGTAGAAGAATGAGAATGAAAAAAAGAATGGTTACCAAACGGTGCCGCAGTGTTTAACACTTTTCATACCAACAAATAATCCACAAAATGTAAACCGTTCGTTCGGATCCATTAAGATGTCATAAACAAAAGAGGGTTCAACACCTTCTCCGATTCGATTGACCACTTCTTGACCCAGTTCCTTCCCGATAAGCTCATCACATCTTCAACGTAGAGTCTAACTGATAGTAATAACTAGTTTTTTACCTTATTTTTCTCATTTTCGATAATTTAATCGAGTTTGGATTGTTAAAAAAATAGTTTAATATAAACATTAACACTAAAACCTATTCCCCCAAATAAAATTTGTGATTGGTATGAAAAATATTTTCCTTATTTTGAGGAAAACAAAAACATATTCCCCCAAAGAAAATGTTTTCCTTAAAAACAAGAAAAATTATGCATATATTTAAAAATTGGAAAATATTTTTAATGGAAAAAAAAATAACAATGAAACACTCCAAAGTAAGAATTTGGGTGAAAAACTGAAGTTTTCTATGGAAAATAAATGCAATCAAAGGCACTGATACTATTAAATGACTGGAATACTCTTTATTATTTATTAATTAAAATTTCTATAAATATTATGAATTATTTTTTATTTTTATTTTTTTGTAAAATGATGGATCATTGGTTGGTACATACATATCATTAAGGTTGAACAAGTCAACTCCGCATCCATTCCTCAAATTAAAATGTGCAAAAAAATAAAATATTCGGTAGCATATCCTGAATGACGTGGAAAATGCGTGCCGTGTGTTGTTTCCAGTATCTTAATCGTGTACTGTACAGTCACATTGCCTACTTTTTTCTATGCTTTTAATTCATGCCAATGGCACAGTACAATAACTTATGGTTGCGTCTATCGAATCTTCTAGGATTTAATATTTAGCTCATGTTTAGTGAAAATTAAAATCAAAATTTTAGAAGATTTTAACAAAAAAAAATTATAAAATATATGGTTGAAAAGTTGTGAATTTATGAAATATGTGGTTAAAACGAATGTTTGACTTTAACGTTGAAAACAATCTAAATTTCAATTCTTAACAAACACTGTGGTAGACAAAATGATCAAATCAAATCCAACGGTTCAATTCGGTTCTACAAAAAAAAATTAATGATTCTGATTTTTAGAATTGAGAACCATTTGGTTCGATTCTAACTCCAGATCGAACTAATCGAACTAAGAACCAAACTCAATATTTGAATTTTATTATTTAATATATATTTACAAATTAGTGAATCACAATTCACATCAAAAAATTCAAAATTCAATTGAAAATCCAGACGAAAAGGTCATTACCTTCTACTTCTCATTTCTCAATGTGGAAACTAAAAACCCTAATTCATTTTGGAGACACAAACCTAATTGTTTATCATTTTCTCTCTTTTCAATTTATATACCAACTCTCAAATAGTGATCAACGACTATCACCTGCCGTTTATTGTCGCACTCAGTTATCATCGTCTTATGTATTTCTGAAATTGAAGCCTCAACTTTAATTCGTCTTCCTCAAATGTTATTTTTTTTCTTCAATCAATAATGAAATTAAAATCAAATCGAACCAAATAGTTCGATCCCGTTTGGTGCCATATTTTTAAAAAAAATCATTTTTTTTATTATCAAAAAAAATCATTAATTCATAATTATGTTCGATTCTGTTGAAATCAGAACCAAATAAAAACATGTTCACCCCTATCAAACAAGGACTTAGCATGTTGAATTGATGTAATTATCCAATAAAGTTGAAAGTTGATTTGTCAAATGTGCTTGCAAATTTTTAATGCTTGTTTGCATAAAATCATAACGAAAACAAATAACATATCTTACTAAGTGTGTGGATATAATTATTAAAATATTAATTTGACTTTGACCTGATCTAATAATTTTATTCAAGCAAGCATTTAATGAAGTATGATCATATATATTTTCATTTAAAATAAATACCTTGTCTTGATGGTCAAAAAAATAACTTTCAAGACACTTGGAACGTCTCTTACACACCGATACTTAGATTATGCTAAGCACTCAGATGATAGAGACACTACAACTACAATAAGTAGTGGGAGATACATCATTATAAATAGGACATAAGATTTTTTCATTAAATATTGTTCACATAAAGAATAATTTTTGAGTAACTAAATACATTATAATACATGGAAGGTAATACTCGTTATTAGAAGACTCAAAACCATGATTCATGTGTTTGTTTTTTAAGAAGGACAATCGATGGAATTAAGTTGAGACATTAGGTTAAATGTATGGACCAAACAGGAGGATGTAAGCGATTCGTTTTCTTCCACTAATAAATTAATGTGATCCAACACATGTTTAATTATATTTGGTGCAGCACTGCACATATTTGGATAGTAGTGTTGTAATAATAACAAAATCTTTTGAGAGTGGGAAGTGTTGAATATTAGAATTCTTGATTATAATTTTACTTTAAACAGTATGATATTTTACTTTTGACGTACTTCTCCAAGATGATGGTTCGTTTGGAAATGTAGATTTCGAAATCTAACAACTCATTTATACATCCAACCATATTGAATATGTCGTTTGAATATTTGGATCATATACTATTGAATCTTGAAGTTTCTCATTTACAAAATGGGATAATTGCAGTTGCGGTCCTAGACTTTTCTCTTTTTTGCAAACTTTACGTCAACCTTCACTTTGTATCATTCACAGTCCCCCACCCTACCCTACCCTACCCTACCCAATCGACACAAAGTGAAGGTTGAGATAAAGTTTACAAAAAAGAGAAAGGTTTGGGACCACAACTGCAATTATCCCTATACAAAATTGTTAAAATGAATTGTTCAAACTCCAATACATTAATTATTATTTTCATATTTAACAATGAATTGTTACAAAATGCTACACAAATATCACAGTCTTATTCTCCAAATAAAAAATACCATTCTTTTTTTTTTTTCAAAAAGAAAGAATAAATATATATACAGATGTAAATGCTAGTAATATATAACATGCTTGAAGTTGTAAATAGATGACAAGTGACGTGCAAAAGTTTCCATTCAATTTCAGCCTCTAACCGTTCTACTGCCAACCATGTTCAGCAAAATACCCCAATTTGTCGACACAACATTTCATAATCTTTAGCGAGAATGAAAAAAGAAGACGGTGGTATAAAAGAATTTGTCCATCTTCGTGTAATTTAACGTATAATCTAATTTTCTTACATTTTTTTTTTAAAATCGATGGTGATCAAATGAAAAGGAGATCAAGTTACATATCTTTACATACTATCGTAAAACAATCACTAATCACTATAAGTAAACTATTTTAAGCTAGATCGAAATAAAATATGGTCCGACATTTATGGAATTTCAATTTAGGCTAAATAGGATTTCAGTTTCACACCCATCGATTGGAAGACGTGGCAACGACAGCCATACCTTGATGGAAGTCTGGCAATATAAAGGGGTTTGGTCCTTAAGTTCAAACACGACATAAAATACAGAATATCCACCGTCAAATTCTGAGTGTTGGAGTGCTTAGAAATGCCTAATCTGAAGAATACAAAAATTTGTGGAATATCATCAATGGCCGAATGTATGAACTTGATCTATGGATTTTCGATTTTCTCAATTCAAGTTGTTTTCGCATAATTATTTTGGATCGATATTCATTCTTCAATAAATAACTTAAAAGATTACACTAATTTGATTCGCACATAAACGGAGCATGGTTAGACCTCGTTTGTCTCCCATTATTCCAAAATATTGTTTACTACAGCAAGATTCTCCACCACATATTCACCCAATAAAATATTCTAAACACAAACCAATAAAGTTACTT